GGCAACTGAGCCCCTGGTCATGGAGTACTTCCAGATGCTGCCTGTTCACAGCCACCTGCTCACGGTGCATTGTAGCAATGTCCCCCAGCATTTCCCCCAGCAATGCCACCAACGGTGGAGACTGCTGCGGGTCTGAAATAATGGGTGCTATTTCCCAGGTATGTTGGGCACCAGTGTAGCAAGTCTCTCTAAAACTGTGAGTTCCTTCAGCACACAATAGAGCACCACAGGTCAGTTAATCAACATACATTTATTGACTTCTCCGCCACACACACCGTCAATACTTTACAGCTCTTATAAGGCTTCTATAGGCCTCTTTCAAAGTCTGTGACAGTTCACTCCAGACGTCCTTTCTGGTTTGTGTGTAGCGGTCCAGCACACTACTGCCTTAAGAGAGGAGAGAGTGATTACTCAATGAGTACCAGCTGATCTCATCAACTCACCTGGTGCTGCTCTCACAAGCTGTCCCCACACCCCTCTCTCTCTCCTGCAGCTGAGTGTAAACCACACCAACCTCTACAGTAAATTTTAATTAGTTACGATATATGGAATAATTTTTCTTTACATATTACAGTCAGCTGCCAAACATGTTGGATGCTGTTGTGTAAAATTGCAAAGAAATTACCATTATCTACATTTATAATTGCAAAGAGCATCCATTCAAGCCTTTATGTTGCTGTAGAAGTAAATAGTACAAGGGAAGAAGATTAGCTACCAGAGCAGGGGTGGGCAAACTTTTTGACCACACTGAGTTCTAAAATTTGACAGGAGGGCCAGGCGAGGAGCAGATGGATGAAGTGTTTATGCGAACTAATGTATAGGACATGTACAAGCCATTATATAAAAGGATTGGCCTTTAAGAGGCAGCAAAGCGTGAATATGCCAGGCTCATTTACAAATTATTTTACAAATGCATTTATTCATAACAGTAGAGAAACTCAAGTTCAAATTCAGTGGGAACAGTCTTGTTGCTCTCCCTTTTTTTGCTACTGCATCAAAGTATGGTGTTAGTTTTGTTGTGGCAATTCTCAGGATGGATCTGAGGTGCTGGTCAGTTAACTTGGATCTGTGATGGGTTTTGTTGACGTTCATGACGCTGAACGTCTGCTCACACAAGTAGGTCGAGCCAAACAACACCACCATCTTCTGTGCCAGAGGTTTCGAAATGTGGCTTTGTTAAGTGAAGCATAAAAGTCATTCAGTTTAAGAGAGTTAAACTTTTCCTTTAAGATGGAGTCAGACTGAAGATCGATCAGTTCCAATTGCAGGTGGGGCGGCTGTGGCTCAGAAGCAGAGCGGGTCGTTCCTTAATCGGAAGGTTGTGGGTTCAATCCCCGGCTCCTGGTGCCACATGTCGAAGTATCCTTGAGCAAGATACTGAACCCCAAGTTGCTCCCGATGCCGTGCATCGGTGTATGAATGTGTATGAATGTTAGTTTCTGTTCGATGGACTTTGCCATCACTTTGTGAATGTATGTGAAAGGGTGAATGGGGCACATAGTATAAAAGCACTTTGGGTGGTCGGAAGACTAGAAAGGCGCTATACAAGTACAGATCCATTTACCGTTTACCATTACCAGGTCAGGTGGTGCTGTGACGAGGTCGTTCAGCTCATTCATGTGGGGAAAATATGTCCACAGCAAAGATAAAGCCACAAAGCCAGTTCCTGTCACTCAACTCAGGAAATTCATCTGATTTCCCCTCTGACTTCAAAAATGTGCTAATCTCCTCTTTGAGCTCCCACACTCTCTGAAACACTTTGTCCGAGACACGAGAGTGGCAAAGTAAGTCCTGGTGATCCGCATCGGTTTCCTCCATGAACGCAATGAACTGACCGTGCTGGAGTCCTCTTGCTCGTATACAGTTCACAAGTTTTACCACTGGATTCACCACGATTAAACTGCAATACAGACTTACACAGAAATTCCTGATGAATGATGCAGTGAAGGAAAATAACATCCTGGTCAGGGTTTTCCTCTTTCCAGTTAAATTTGGCGATCCATCTGTGGTGACATTGGCAAGTTTACTCCAAGGTAGCTTCGTTCTCTCGATGACAGCAGACACACTGTCATATAAGTCCTCTCGTCCACATAAGTGATCTAGACGTGTTAGAAAAGTGATTTATCAACACCAGCTTGGGATTTAACCTTAAATAAACCTGAATGCAGCATAATACACCACACTCCAACCAGGGTAATTGGGCGCCAAATGGGGAAACGTGATAATTGCAGGGACGTCAAAATGAATGCGATTTAATAATAATTAAATGTAATAATATAGTTTGAACAAGTCAGACGAGCCGGATTAAAAAGCTTAACGGGCTGTAGTTTGCTCATGCCTGTACTAGAGAGTCTCTGTATCGTTAAACTACTAAAGGTAATGCATCTCAGAATCTGTGCGGGATCGGGGAGGGGATGACACACAGCAAAGGGCTGCAGGTTGGACTCGAACCCTGGGCCGCTGCAGCAAGGACTCAGCCTCGGTACATGGGTCACCAGCTCTACCCACTGAGCTATCCGGGCACCCAGGATCTGTGCTCTGTCTGTCTCTGTCTCTCTCCCAGGCCATATACACTGATCAGCCATAACATTGTGAGCACTGACAGTGAATAACACTGATTATCTGGTTATCATGGCTCCTGTCAGTGGGTGGGATATATTAGGCAGCAAGTGAACATTTTTTCCTCAGAGTTGATGTGATAGAAGCAGGAAAAATGGGCTGCGTGAGGATTTGAGCGACTTTGACAAGGCCAAAATGTGATGGAAAAGCAGTGAACTGGAGACAGGGTAATGGGCGGCCAAGACTCATTGATGTGGGGAGTGAAGGCTGGCCCATGTGGTCCAATCCAATAGACGAGCTACTGTATCTTAAACTGCTGAAACAGTTAATGCTGTTTCTGATAGAAAGGAGTCAGAACCAGTGTTGGTCAAGTTACTTGGAAATAGTAATTAGTTACTGATTACTGATTACTTCTGCAAGAAAGTAATCCAGTTACTTTACTGATTACTTAATTTCAAAAGTAATTAGTTACTTTACCAGTTACTTTACTAGGTTACTTTTCAAAAACATGATGCACAACCTGAATACGCCATAAAGCAATAGAACTTTTTGTCCGACTTTTTGGGGAAAACCTGGTCTGATTAGGAGAGACGGCATCCATCCCACTTTGGATGGAGCGGCTCTCTTATCTAGAAATATGGCGAAATTTATTTCTAAAACCTGACAGTCCAGAGTTAGGACCAGGAAGCAGAGCTGCTGTCTTACACACTCCTCTGCGCTTTCTTTAGAACAGTCACCCACCCAAAACCCCATAGAGACTGTGTCTGTCCCCGACCACCTAAATTATTTAAAGAAATAAAAACAAGAGGAGTTCAACATAAAAATCTAATAAAAATTAAAACCAACTCCTCAGTAGCACAAAATAAGAGAATGAAATGTGGGCTGTTAAATATCAGGTCTCTGTCCTCTAAAGCTGTTCTAGTGAATGAATTAATATCAGATTATGATATTGATTTACTTTGTCTTACTGAGACCTGGTTGTCCCACGATGAGTATGTTAGCCTAAATGAATCCACACCCCCAGTCATATTAATACTCACATTCCTCGAGGCACAGGCCGAGGAGGTGGAGTAGCAGCTATATATGATTCGAGCGTTTTAATGGACCCTAAACCTAAACTAAATTATAATTCATTTGAAAGCCTTGTTCTTAGTCTTTCTCACCCAAACTGGAAAACACTGCAGCCAGTTCTATTTGTTATAGTGTACCGCGCTCCTGGACCGTACTCTGATTTTATATCTGAATTCTCAGAGTTTCTATCAAGCTTAGTCCTTAAATCAGATAAAGTAATTATTGTAGGTGATTTTAATATTCATGTGGATGTTGACAATGACAGCCTTAGTAATGCATTTATATCATTAATAGACTCAATTGGCTTCTGTCAGAGTGTAAATAAAACAACTCATTGTTTTAATCACACTCTTGACCTTGTTTTATCATATGGCATTGATATTGAACATTTAATAGTCTTCCCACATAATCCTTTCCTATCTGACCATTATTTAGTAACTTTTGAATTCATACTATTAGATTATAAGCCATTAGGCAAAACTTCCTACAGCAGATGTCTATCTGACAGTGCTGTAGCTAAATTTAAGGAGGAGATTCCTTCAGTGTTCAATTCAATGCCATGTCTGAATTTAACAGAGTCCTATAACAACTTTAGTCCCTCTGAAATTGATAATCTTGTCGATAGTGCTACAGGCTCACTACGATCAACATTAGACTCTATCGCTCCTATAAAAGGAAATTATTAAAACATAGGAGACTAGCACCTTGGTATAACCACCAAACCCGCCAGTTAAAGCAAATAGCTAGGAAATCTGAAAGGAAATGGCGCTCTTCCAAATTATCAGAATATCGCTCAAATTGGCAAGATGATCTTAAGATTTATAGAAAGGCCCTCCGTAATGCCAGAGGAGCCTATTACTCAGCACTAATAGAAGAAAATAAGAACAACCCTAGGTTCCTCTTCAGCACTGTAGCCAGGCTGACAGAGAGTCACAGCTCTATCGAGCCACATATCCCCATAAACTTAAGTAGCAATGACTTCATGAGCTTCTTCTATAATAAAATTATTACTATTAGAGAAAAATTAATCACCAACTGCCATCAACAGTTATCAGTGGCTCTCCAAGTTCAGGGACTTCTGTCAATGTAAACTTAGATGTATATTTAGACTGTTTTTCTGCTATCGATCTTCATCAGTTAACTTCAATCATTTCTTCATCGAAGCCATCAACCTGTCTGTTAGACCCGATCCCAACTAGGCTGCTTAAAGAAGTTGTTCCCTTAATTGGCACTTCTTTACTGGATATGATTAATCTTTCTTTATTATCAGGATATGTACCACAGTCCTTTAAAGTAGCTGTAATTAAACCCCTTCTTAAAAGTCTACTCTTGACCCAGGGGTTTTAGCCAACTATAGACCGATTTCTAACCTCCCGTTCCTCTCTAAGATTCTGGAGAAAGTAGTCGCCAAAGAGTTGTGTGACTTTCTACATAACAATAGTTTATTTGAGGATTTTCAGTCAGGATTTAGAGTTCATCATAGCACAGAGACAGCTCTGGTTAAAGTTAATAATGACCTTCTGACTGCTTCTGACAATGGACTTGTCTCTGTACTTGTATTATTAGATCTTAGTGCTGCATTTGACACCATTGACCATGATATTCTTTTACAGAGACTTGAGCATCAAATTGGCATTAAAGGAACTGCCCTAACCTGGTTTAAGTCATACTTATCAGATCGTACTCAGTTTGTACATGTTAACGATGAATCCTCCATAAATACTAAAGTTAGTCATGGAGTTCCACAAGGTTCTGTACTTGGACCAATACTATTTACTTTATATATGCTCCCTTTAGGCAACATTATTAGGAATCACTCCATTAACTTTCACTGTTATGCAGATGATACGCAGTTATATCTATCAATCAAACCCAATGAAATTAATCAATTATCTAAATTACAAACATGTCTTAAGGACATAAAATCCTGGATGACCTGCAATTTTCTGATGTTAAACTCAGAAAAACCGAAATTCTTGTTCTTGGCCCCAAAAACCTTAGAGACTCATTGTCTAAAGATATAGTCACTCTAGATGGCATTAACTTGGCCTCTAGCACCACTGTCAGGAATCTTGGAGTTATCTTTGATCAGGATTTGTCATTTAACTCCCACATAAAGCAGACCTCTAGGACTGCCTTCTTTCATTTACGTAATATTAGAAAAATTAGACACATACTATCACAGACAGATGCAGAAAAACTAATCCATGCATTTGTTACTTCAAGGCTGGATTACTGCAACTCTTTATTATCAGGTTGCCCCAATAAGTCCATTAAAACGCTCCAATTAATTCAGAACGCTGCAGCACAAGTACTGACAGGAACTAGAAAAAGAGATCACATCTCTCCTGTACTAGCTACTCTGCATTGGCTCCCTATAAAATGTAGAATTGAATTTAAAATACTCCTCCTCACCTATAAAGCTCTTCATGGTCAGGCCCCTTCATATCTTAAAGAGCTCATAGTACCCTATTACCCCACTAGAACACTACGTTCTCTGAATGCTGGGCTACTTGTGGTTCCTATAGTCTCTAAAAGTAGAACAGGAGCCAGAGCCTTCAGTTACCAAGCTCCTCTCCTGTGGAACCAGCTTCCAGTTGTGGTTCGGGAGGCAGACACCCTCACCACTTTCAAGAGTAGGCTTAAGACATTCCTCTTTGATAAAGCTTATAGTTAGGGCTGGATCAGGTGAGTCCTGAACCATCCCTTAGTTATGCTGCTATAGGCCTAGACTATCGGGGGATTTCCCATGGTGCACTGAGCTACTCTCTTCCTCTCTTTTCTGCACTCATTCATGTCCCTTTAATGCATGTTACTAACTCCACTTCTTCCCCGGAGTTCTTGGCTTTCTCGTCGCAGGTTCTCATGGATCCTGGTGGAGCCTCCTGCCATGGTCCTGCTTGACTGCCATTGCCAATACTGTTGTTGCTGTGCACCTGTCTGTCTGTCTGTCGCTCTCTCTCTCTCTCTCTCTCTCTCTCTCTCTTTCTCTCTCTCACCCCAACTGGTCGAGACAGACGACCACCCACCTAGAGCCGGAGGATCTGTCCTAGGTTTCTGCCTTTTAACAGGCAGTTTTTCCTTGCCCTTGTCGCCAAGTGCTTGCTCATGGTGGTACTGTTGGGTCTCTGTAATTAATGTTAAAGAGTTCGGTCTAGACCTGCTCTATTTGAAAAGTGTCCTGAGATAACTTCTGTTATGAATTGGCGCTATACAAATAAAATTGAATTGAATTGAATTGAATTGAACTTTCAGCCTAATTCTATTCTTTCTGCATATTCCATCATCTAAAATTGATTCAAATGAAACATTCTCTTTTTTAAAACTTGTTTTATTAGTTTCAATCTTTTAATTTTATGCACATTGCATCAAGCAAAAATTTAATTAAATGCAACAGTCTCTGACTTCAAGAAAATTTAAACCTATTTTCTACACATTCCACCATATTTTAATGAAATAAAGCAAGTCCTTCTTCTTATATTTCTGCATATTCCAGCATATAACATAAAAATATTTTTTGTATAATCCTTCATTCGAATAGATGTAAATAAAATACAGCAATAAAATAATTAAAATCAAAGTCTCTCCTGACTGTATTCCAAATTATTAACATTTATGTCTTTTAACAGTTGGTGAAGTGCAGAGAGGAGTAATAATGAGTTTACCAAAACAGAAAATGCTGTTGCATGCCACATTTAGGCTGTTAGTCCAGTCTCATTTTATGGCTACCCTGACAAGGCCCATGTTTTTTTGTTTTCTTTCGGAGTGAAACAGTGGTTGTATCGCATCAACAGAAGCTTCTCAAACCTCCTATTACACAGTCTGTTCCTTTTCGGGGAAAGCACCAATCCGCATAAACTGAACAGCCGTTCCACTGGTGCACTGGATGGAGTTGGAGTGTTGTATTTCATGTACATCTTTTTGAGGTTTGGGAACTGATTTAATTGTGTGTGATGCACACCTGTAGTGTGGAGGGAGGCTAAACTGTCCATCACCAGATGCAGTTGAAAGAGCTTCTATGACATCTGTAAAAGTCGGTTCCTCATCATCACCTTCTTCTTCATTTTCAGATTCAGACTCCAAATTACAGGACTGACATACTCTGAATGCTTTGGCAAAATTAGATGCATTATCAGTTACAGTGGCAACAACTTTGCGATGCAGTCCATATGATGAATAGATTTCTTCAATCTCTGCTCCAATTACATCATAGGTGTGCCTGCCTCTAATTCTCTTACATGCTAGGGCAGCCTTGTTGCGCTGTAAAGTGGAATTAATCCAGTGAACTGTTACACCCATAAAACTTTTATTATTCACCGTCCAGATGTCAGCAGTGGTGGAAACAAAGTCTACATCTCCGAGTGCAGCCTTCAAATTAGCGTCCATTATGTCGTATTCTCTCTCAAGGTATCCTGCAAATGACTTTCTCTGCGGCAGCTTGACACCGTGTTTGGTCGGTATTTTTTCTACGATGCGTCGGAACGATTCAGAGTCTACAGTGGAAATGGGCAACATGTCCTCGACAATATAGCCAGCGACGAGCTTCTTCAGTTCAGCGGGAAGTCTATTTTCACCTGTTTAGCAGAAGAGGGGCCCTCGGAGGTTCGCCCGGTGGAATTGGATATGGTAGCTGCAGCGGTCATGTCAGTTGGGGGATCTGGGTTTTTTTCAGTGAGTTTCACATTCCTGTGCCGGCTTGCTAGGTACTTGCTCAGATTTGAGGTGGAATTTTTCGCTGTAGATAAAAGTTTTCTTCCCACGCAGAGTGTACAGCGGACGCTGATGTTTTTGTCACCTTTTACTGAGTCAAACTCAAAGTAATGTCGGTACTTCCAAGCATTAAACGCTGCATAGTCCTGCTCTCTCCCGCGCTCCATGTTGTCTCTTGTTGATCACTACACATGTCAGTGTTTACCACTGACGTCGCGGCGCTCATACGTCATTGTCACTCAAGAGACAGCCTCACAAAACAAAATCACGGTTAAGTAATGCAGTAACCTGTAAGCCTGCTTGCGGGAAAGTAAAAGTAATCTAATTACTGTTTTTGCAATTGTAATCCCTTACTTTACTTGTTACTTGAAAAAAGTAATCAGATTACAGTGGTCAGAACACACAGAGCGTCACAGGCTGTTGGTATGGGACCAGTCTGGGTGCCCAGGTGGTCAGAATGTTATGGCTGATAGCTGGTGTATGTTAATAACACACATTTTCTCCATCCAGTCCCTCAACTTTCAATGATCCTGTGCTTTATTCTGAATTTCACACATTCTAAGTAGGAATTGTCTGTTTCTCTCTTATGGAGAAACAATAATGTATCTATTTTTACCTGTCTCGGCATGAGCTAGCATGGACTTAAATAATTTAGTGGGTATTTCATCTGACGTACTGGACAGGCAGCCTGCAAAAGCAGTAACATGAAAAGACAAGAAAACTACTTAAATTCATTAGGTAATTGCTATTGGTTGCAAGCCAAATCTTATCTTTACAGGGCTTGTATTAAATATCCTTGTATTACCAAATTTGGTCTCCTGGTTGTGCTTAGAATGGTAGTTCTAGTCCCTAGTGTAGATTCTGCTGGAATCAACTAAGCAACAATTATCCCATCAGGGGAAGACTAAAACAAGATATGGTCAGGGTTTTTTAGAAGTGGGCATCGTAACCTAATGTTTCTGGGAGAATAACTGACGGTTTGCATTTCCTGATCCCCCTGAAATAAACAGTAAGTGAATAAGTGAATAAATGAATAAAAACATTAAAACTTTTTTATATCTACAATACAGAGGGCTTTATACAGCAGCCAGCCTCCTATATATTCTCAAGTTTCATGTACTGACTGTTCGTGAGTCTTAAAATCTGAACAAAACACAGTGCGACACATTGTATGAAAGAAGTGCTCTCTTCATCAGTATTCTAGATTTGAAACATTTGTGTATTTAGATACTACACCAAATTTTAGGTAGAAGTGTTATATTAAGGATACGTACATTTTCGATTCTCAAAGTTTTGTACAAAAACAAAATAGTTGACAAATCCAGGTTGGCTAAATTTCCCTCAGGTCAGTAGGCTGTTGGTGTCCTGTCTGTGTTTCCTTTAACATTTAATCTTTTTCTTGCCCTTGCAGGAAAAAGAATCCTGAAGATGACCTGTGGATTCATATAAAGTAATATTCATTAGGTCAAATCCTAACTTTATTACATTATCTTATTCAATTCAATTCAATTCAATTCAATTCAATTTTATTTGTAAAGCGCCAAATCATAACAGAAGTTATCTGCTGTAACAAGGACACTTTTCAAATAGAGCAGGTCTAGACCAAACTCCTTGTAACATTTACAGAGACCCAACAGTACCACCATGAGCAAGCACTTGGCGACGGGGGCAAGGAAAAACTGCCTTTTAAGAGGCAGAAACCTAGGACAGACCCTTCGGCTCTAGGTGGGTGGTCGTCCAGTTGGGGTGAGAGAGAGTGAGAGAGAGACAGAGAGAGAGAGAGACAGACAGACAGGTGCACAGCAACAACAGTAGCAACAACTACACTAATAGTACTGACTGATGATGATGATGATGAACATGAAGAAGATGATGACGATGACAACAACAACAATGGCCATATGTCATATTACACTGACTGTCTTAACCTTTCAATGCAGACACTGCTCCCATAATCTTTCAACATGGAAATAAATGAACTTCTCTGTAAGTGTACGACTGTGCTTTATTAATGTGTCTTTAATTTAGTTACACTGATTAAACTTAAATAGGATGTGTGCTACACCCATGGATGAAGGGAAAATTCACAGAAACATACATTACTATCACATGCTGCAGCAAAATAATCTGTGGATACCTTTTAATCACAGGTTGCACCCTGGGACAGAGTGCTTAACGGAACACAGATCACCAGCCTGCGACAAATGTCCATTGCATAACAAAGCTAATTAATTATTTCAATTTACAACCAATCTCTACCTTGGTTATTTTCAGGGTTTACACCAGTATCTGGCAAGAGGGGGATGCTGTTTTTACCACAACCTTGCACAGCAGCACATCACAGCAGTCATTTTATATGGCACACATCAGTGTCATATCAACCAACACTTGCATATGCCATTGGATATCAGTAGACTGCATCTCTGTGAACAGTGGTGTGGACTTGTCTCTGTACTTGTATTATTAGATCTTAGTGCTGCATTTGACACCATTGACCATGATATTCTTTTACAGAGACTTGAGCATCAAATTGGCATTAAAGGAACCGCACTAAGCTGGTTTAAGTCATATTTATCAGATCGCTCACAGTTTGTACATGTTAACAATGAATCTTCAATAAATACTACAGTTAGTCATGGAGTTCCCCAAGGTTCTGTACTTGGACCAATACTATTTACTTTATATATGCTCCCTTTAGGCAACATTATTAGGAATCACTCCATTAACTTTCACTGTTATGCAGATGATACGCAGTTATATCTATCAATCAAGCCCGATGAAATTAATCAATTATCTAAATTACAAACATGTCTTAAGGACATGAAATCCCGGATGACCTGCAATTTTCTGATGTTAAACTCAGAAAAAAACGAAATTCTTGTTCTTGGCCCCAAAAACCTTAGAGACTCACTGTCTAAAGATATAGTTGCTCTAAATGGCATTAACTTGGCCTCTAGCACGACTGTCAGGAATCTTGGAGTTATCTTTGATCAGGATTTGTCATTTAACTCCCACATAAAGCAAACCTCCAGGACTGCCTTCTTTCATTTACGTAATATTACAAAAATTAGAGACATACTATCACAGACAGATGCAGAAAAACTAATCCATGCATTTGTTACTTCAAGGCTGGATTACTGCAACTCTTTATTATCAGGTTGCCCCAATAAGTGCATTAAAACGCTCCAATTAATTCAGAACGCTGCAGCACGAGTACTGACAGGAACTAGAAAAAGAGATCACATCTCTCCTGTACTAGCTTCTCTGCATTGGCTCCCTGTAAAATGTAGAATAGAATTTAAAATCCTCCTCCTCACCTATAAAGCTCTTCATGGTCAGGCCCCTTCATATCTTAAAGAGCTCATAGTACCCTATTACCCCTCTAGAACACTACGTTCTCTGAATGCTGGGCTACTTGTGGTTCCTATAGTCTCTAAAAGTAGAACAGGAGCCAGAGCCTTCAGTTACCAAGCTCCTCTCCTGTGGAACCAGCTTCCAGTTGTGGTTCGGGAGGCAGACACCCTCACCACATTCAAGAGTAGGCTTAAGACATTCCTCTTTGATAAAGCTTATAGTTAGGGCTGGATCAGATGAGTCCTGAACCATCCCTTAGTTATGCTGCTATAGGCCTAGACTATTGGGGGATTTCCCATGGTGCACTGAGCTCCTCTCTTCCTCTCTCTTTCTGCCCTCATTCATGTCCCATTAATGCATGTTACTAACTTCACTTCTTCCCTGGAGTTCTTGTTCTTTCTCGTCTCGCAGGTTCTTATTGATCCTGGTGAAGCCTTCTGACATGGTCCTGCTAGATTGCCATTGCCAATACTGTTGTTGCTGTGCACCTGTCTGTCTGTCTGTCTCTCGCTCTCTCTCTCTCTCTCTGTCTCTGTCTCTCTCTCTCTCTCACCCCAACTGGTCGAGACAGACGACCACCCACCTAGAGCCGAAGGATCTGTCCTAGGTTTCTGCCTTAACAGGCAGTTTTTCCTTGCCCTTGTCGCCAAGTGCTTGCTCATGGTGGTACTGTTGGGTCTCTGTAATTAATGTTTTAAAGAGTTCAGTGTAGACCTGCTCTATTTGAAAAGTGTCCTGAGATAACTTCTGTTATGAATTGGCGCTATACAAATAAAATTGAATTGAATTGAATTGAATCAGTGGACTAAGTTAAAGTCAGTGGCACAGGTATGGCAGTGAGAATCGGCAGTGGGGACCAAGGTTATTATAGTTAACTAAAACTAAAGAAAAAACTACAACTGTTGAAATGCTAGTTAATTTCAACAGTAATTAGATAAAAACTAGACTTTAGAAATAAACAAAAACTAACTAAAATAATATCATGTAACTAACTAAAATTAAATAGAAATATACAGGAAATGTCTTTAGTTTTAGTCTAAGTCAGGGGGCAGCTTTTCATATCAAATTTGGCCAAAAAAGAAAAGAAAAAAATCTGGAGCCGAAAAACATATTCAAGCTCTATAATGTGAGCCTTACCGGTGAAAGCAAACAAATCTGTCCATACACCATTAAATCCACTATTTTCCTTCAAGTCTTTCTTTTTTTGGATTTGGAATCTATAGCTTTCTAGGGAGAGTCAAAACTAGTAAACACCATTATTGAGGTTCAGCAAAATATAGTGTAATTTACACCCATCAGCCATAACATCGTGGTGGTCCCATGCGAACAGACTGCTCTGCACTGTGTTCTGACCCCTTCCTATCAGAACCAGCATTAACTGTTTCAGCAGTTTGAGCTACAGTAGCTCGTCTGTTGGATCGGACCACACGGGCCAGCCTTTACTCACTATTGGAAAAACATAACGTTAACTGCATGAAGCTGTCTGTGAATGAAAATATAGCACTTTTCAGCATGAATATGTTCAGTTTAAACATGGTTTAGCTGTCAGTGAGCACAACCTGACTTGGTTTATTTCATGGCATCCCTGCCAGTGTACAGAGTAGGGATGAGTGAATACACCATTATCTTTATCTGTTTGACCAACTAAATTATCTGTATTCATATCCTTACTCAGAATGGGCGGGACTTCAATCTGAAGTGGGTGGTGCTTAAACATAAAATGGGAGGAGCTAACTAGAAGTTGCTAATTTAAGCCTGAATTTGATATGGGTTGATCAGAAGTTGCTACATTTATAAAAAAAAAAAATATTTACAGAATTTATCTTTACAGTATGTAGCTACTAGAAAAAAAGTGTGTGCACTGGTATATTTAATAACTGTCCTTTGTCGTCTTAAGCAAGAGAAATGCATATAAAGCCGCGAAGGGCAGGAGTGGATGAGGTTGGAGCACAGGAAAGTGCAAGCATGCAGCTTGAGCAGAGCAACTGTAAGCACAAGCAAGGGCTATTTGAGTGTGAGGGCAGGGTTTGAGGGAAAGCATTCAATAAGTACTGTTCTTAGATTGCAAGACTCTTTTGGATAAAAAAAAAGAAACCCCATACCACTTGGGTGGCAAGCTAACATTAGCAAGTGAGATGGAAGATTTGTTGTTGTAGAGTTAGACAGCTGCTTAGACAGACACACACAACTTCTCAGATGCTTTGGTATTGGTAAATGGACCTGTGCTTGTATAGCGCCTTTCTAGTCTTCCGACCACTCAAAGCGCTTTTACACTACGTGAGACATTCACCCTTTCACACACATTCACACAGTGATGGGAAAGTCCATCGAACAGAAACTAACATTCATACACACTCACACACCGATGCACGGCATCAGGAGCAATTTGGGGTTCAGTATCTTGCTCAAGGATACTTTGACATGTGGCACCAGGATCGAACCCACAACCTTTCGATTAAGGAACGGCTATGAGCCACAGCCGCTTGAGACTTTCCACTCAAGATATTCTGCTCCATGCTTTGCCTGCTAATGTCCATTTTCGTAGCAAACAACACAATATTACTAAGTTAGTTTGTGGATAGGTCCATAGGGTATAGCCATAGGTCAAGCTTTGACTGTAAATTTTATAGAGATTCCAATACAATTTTTTCCTTCCCAATACCAATTCCGATACCTGAACTTTGCATATTATTATTATTATTATTATTATTATTATTTCTTTTATTTGAACAGGGACAGTGCACAATAAAACATTGACCCTGTATATAACAAGGAGAGATGCATTGCACCGGGTTTTAGCAAATTGCTATTTTCCACCCGTAGTCCCTGGGCAGGTAGATGGAACATACAATAAATGAGCTGATATGAGTATGTACATTAAAAAACTTGGCTCTCCCTTTTTATTCAAAAATGTGTTCACTGTTGAAGTGTAATGTCAAAATTGACTGTCTATGAACGCAACAGACCATTTGAAGTAGTTATCCTTATGATTCAGCAGTGGGAGCTACAATATGAGCTTGACCCATAGCATGCCCTATTGACAGTAAACTAAGCTAGTCAATCAATATTTTGACTTAATATCTCAGAATAATGACTTAGTATCAAAAGTCATTATTTTGAGATGCTAAGTCAATATTTGACAAAAAAAGTTTTTTAGTACTGACAACTGTATCAGTAATGGAACAACTCTAGTAAATTTTGAATTCTAACAGGTAATTACTAATTATTAATAATTAACCACATTCTGACGAAATTTCGGATAAAATTGGTAGCCCTATGACATAATCATTTAGAGTGAACATAGACAGACATCATCCTTTTTTAACTAGTTTTCTCTGTCATGGCTCATTGGCATATTCCTTATGTATTTGACATTTCATTTCTATTATGTATCGAATTATGCAAAAGAATCTTTACATAAAGTTAAAATAAAATTTTCTGTTTACATTCATTTTTTCTATTTTTGATGCATAAATTATAAAAAAAAACCTGTAAAGCTAAAGCTGTAGATAGATACAGAGATAGGATGCTAGAGTGGAGAAAGAGAGAGAGAGAGAGAGAGAGAGAGAGAGAGAGAGAGAGAGAGAGCAGTGTTGAAATAGGGACTTCCCTGAGCCTCCATCATCTGCAGGGAGGGAAAAAAACACACACACACAGCCTCCCACATACACACACACGCACACTGTGCTGAGAGCTAGCAAGGGGCTTTAAACAGCTTCACACAAAATAAGAGACAAAGGGACTGTAACCTGCCACAATGGAGGAAAACATGGATGAATCGCAAAGCCAGAAAGGTAGGATGGAAGAGCAATTTGTTAATTTTTATCTTTCATCAGCTGTGCCATTCTGCCATTGTTCTGTCCTTCCATCCCTCTCGGTATCGTGGGATTCCTTTGTGTGTGTTGTGGGCAAAGAGAAAGAAGACAGCATACATGTCCTGCAGGGAAAAAAAGAGAAACTACAGTTCATTTTCACATTTTCTTGCCACAATTTACAGACTGTTTTCCTAGTAAGTAGTAATGTAAAGATAGGCTGTGAATTTTAATCGTGCCATCTATACGTCAGCTCATGATAATACCACGGATTATGCAACCCTATTTTTTTGTGTGTTTCAATGAATGGATGCATAAATGAGCAGATTGTTTGGGCTGGGGATGAGAGGAGATGGCAGACACTGGAGGGTTGGTGTTGTTTTGGAGGCTGGACAGATGGATGGACAGATGCATGGATGGATGGATGGATGGAGGAGGTGGGAGTGGCAGGGGGGGTAGGGGGGTAGAAGGGGGTGTTAGAAGAAGGGGAGCGTGGGGCAAAACCTTGGAATAAAGACCAAAAATCAGAGGGAGGAGGGATAAGTGGAGCAGTGATTGATGCCTCCATTGGGATTTTCTTTGTTAGCCTCCATTGTTGATGCTTCACGCTTGTCTGAACGCCTTTTCCTCTCCTCTCTCCCTCGCTCTCTGCATGTGTCCCTTTTTTCCCTGCTATCTGTGTCGCTTCCTACCCTTTCCCTCCATTTTCTTTATATCTCTCTATCACTAGTCCTCTCCCTTGATTGAATTTTTAGTCAGTCATTTTGACTTCAAAATTGATTTTCTGGGTCCATCAGTCTATTTCTTTGCCTCTGCAGGTGTCTGTCTCCCGTTTCTCTCTGTCCCTAAACCTCTATTTTGACTCATCTCTCGCTCACCTCCATCTCACTCTGCCAGTTCCCTCCCTCATTCCCAGCCTTTTTTCACCTTTTCTCTTCCTCCATCCATCCTTTACCTATATGCATCCCATTTAAATCACAGGTAATCTCTCACTGTGTTTTTTTCAAAAAGCGTATTCATGTTTTTTTTCTCTCTATCACATCCTCCCATTTTATTGTTGTTGTTGTCGGAGGTAAAAATGGGCGTGTCCATTTTCTTCATCGCACCTTCAGTCTGAAATCAGACATAAATGCTGCTGTTTGCACACATTCTGAAAATACAAACGGCGACGGGCACATTCAAAATAAATGATAATTTGCTTTTACCACATTAACACTGTATCTATGGTAATACCGTTATGGAATTGTCTTCTGGTGTGTGATAGGCGGATTCATGTGTTTTCTGTGGAAGGAAGCCGTTTTAGCCAATCAGAAAGCCAAATGTGGAGGCATGATGTTTCAAACAAACATGATTTTAATTATTTTTTTTATTTTTTGGTATCATCCCACTCCTTCTGTCCATCTGTTCAACTAGTTCCCATCCCACATTCGTGTCATTCTCTCCATCTTCATTGCTTTTTTTATACATCCTTGTTTAATTTCACTGTCACCGGCCTCCCCGTCTCTCTTCCTCTTCTTTAATAAATGGGATTCACACAGCTGACAAAATACAGGCATGTGTTTGTGATAAAATGTGGCAAGACAGGAGAAAATGAGAGATGGAGGAAAATGTGAATCTATAAGGCAGGGCAGAGAGAGTGATGCAGAGCGGCTGGTAGACAGAAGAGAAACAGTCGCGTGCGATGTATATGGATTTGATATATTGATATATTACCTTTAAGATATTACTTTAATTTTATATATAGTATTGATAATTGATTGAATTTTAATGCTTAAATGCACTGTCAATTTGTCTGTCAGCAGTTAGACTTAGGTCTTAAATCAGTTTAATTCAAGGTTAGGCACAAACACTGACATTTTAGAGTAACTGGCTGTTTCTTTGCTTATTTTGCTGAACATGGCCAAACGATGACTGATGGTGTGTGAATTGCAAACAAAATGTAACATTAGGGTTCCATCATTAGAAAATAATAAATAAATAAGTCCAGCAGTCTAGCCAAGTCCAATTTCATAATAAAAATGTGTTAAAGGTCCAGTGTGTAACATTTAGGATGATCAGTTGTCAGAAATGGAATATAATATTCATAGCTATGTATTCAGTAGTGTGTTATCACCTGAAAATAAGAGTCATTGTGTTTTTGTTATCTTAGAAGTTTGGTTTTATCTACAGAGGGAGCGGGTCCTCTTTTACCATGTTGAACCAACATGTAGCAATCTGCAACTACACCGCTAGATGGCAATAAAACCTACACAGTGGCCCTTTAAATGAATAATCTTGAATTAGTTATCAGTTGTCAAAATAAAATTTTGAAACACAATTAGAATTTTTCTGCATTTGGTTATAAAATAATATAGCCTGAAAATGATCACATGGCCAAGTGTTCCTTACCAGGTGTTGCTTTGAGTTACCATTGGTTACGGGCAAATACATCGCAACAACTGGACCAATGAAAAAGACAGGATATAAATAATGGAAGCCAGACATAACCTTCACTGTTAGGTCTTATCAGCAGCCTGGATACATTTGTTATCCCTGTGCAGGCTGTTAAAATCATCTACACATCCACAATGTGTTTGGCATACATTATTTTCTAGTTGTTCTAGTGTTGAAGTGGTATCATAGAACCAGTTTACTATTTATTTGTACCCCTTTGACAGCCCAGATGTAGTGAAAATTGATCTTCCAAGATTTGAGGATACTTTCTGTTGGCTTTTTCTCTTTTGAAGGGGATTAACATTACAGGCCGAGATGTGAAATTAGAGGATGTGGTCTATAAGTGGACATTCAGGACAGAGCCAAAAGATGTGAGGCTGCATGAGGTGGATTTGAGTCACTTTCTATGAGATAGGTGTCTGTACATCGATGGGTACACTGCAAACAGGAACTGCTAACAGCTAATCTAGAATACTTTTAATGGGGCTGATTTGACAGAATGTAAAGAAATATAAGCTAAAAAAAAGGGGCCTCAATAGAAAATATAGTACCTACGTGTAGCTGACATTACAGCCCATTAGATTCTTCTCCTGTTGTCATATTTCCAAATAGGCCTCCATGTTTCCATGTTAGCAAAAGCTTTTGACTTTTTTTGAGCAGCTCTTAGCGCGTAAAACACATCCACTTTAAAACAAAAGGAAGTCTGTCTGCATGGGGTAATTATTACTTGGGTAGGGGTGAAAATGAACCCTCCAAATTCGAATCACTGAACAGCACAGTTATTGTTAATATCACCCAACCTCCCCTAGAGAAATAAATCCAGTCCGAATAGGGCTTTAGGAGTTATGATTCTCAGCTACATGATCAGTGGGAACTTTGTCTCAAACCTCATCATCAGCTGTATCATCTTATATAGGAATTTCCTATGTATGTTATTTACTGTATCCTTTTAGAGCTTGCAGAAGAAACAAACAAAATCCACTCCACAGGGATCAGTAACGTTTCATGTTCTCTGATCTGAAGAGGAAGTGTGGCAGAGACACACTGAGAGGTTTTGATCTGCATTTTCTGTAGCAGGTCATCCTGCTGAGGACTTAGTCCTGCTTTTAGAGATTTGTGGGGCTTAATTGGGAATGGCAAGTTCTTTATCTGGATCCTGGGCTGCTTGTTTGTTCATGTGCAACTTTTGGGTCAATTGGAAGTCTCAGGTTGATTTCTTTTCACGTCATTAACAATGAATACCGCGAGTGCTAATCTGTAGTTTAGATTCAGCACTGTTGCTATTAATGATGATGTTTTTATGACAGATAATCGTCTTTTTATGTGAAACTATTTCACTGCCAAAATCATTTAGACACTAGCCAAAGTGACCTCGCAGGGCTTATAACTGTTACAGTTTTAATGGTATTTGCTTCTTACACATTTTACATGAACTGATTTTCAGTAAAGTAATAGAGCAGGACTAAAAGCCTCTTTTCTGTTTGGAGGAAGACACAACTGACACAAGTGAACCCAGACGCCATCACTCACCTGATGTATGCAGAACGTGACTGAAAAGTTCCTTTGAATTTAGTTATTTTCTAATTATTGAACATTTCTGTGAAGATTTACACTGCTGCTCACAATTTATCAACTCATGCTCAGAATGTGTTTGTCCTATCTCTTAGACAGGCATCAGTTTCCATTAATTTCTGAACAGTATGAAAATCAATTAGACTCCTGGAACTTTGAGTAGTGTAATCCATCCAAAAAAAAAAAAAATACTCATAGGTATTTAATTCACTTTGTGATGTCTGATAATGGATTATCTTAGATAGAAATGAGTGGAAGCCAATGGCTGTAGGAACAAACAAATTCCTTTAAACCATGTAAAATATTTGTATTAAATATGCAGTATAACTGGTGTTGTCGGTTGAGTCTTAAAATGTCCAACTGATTCAATTGATTCAAGTCCTGTGCAATTCAGCAACTTATGAATGTTGTCAAAATATAAGCCACTAGATATGCTGCCTTAAAAAACAAACTAAACTGACTGTTTTATGGCATAATGGAAAAATAATTAATAGAATTAGAATGATCTTAAGCAGAAGAATTGTTTATTTCTTAAAACTTATGGAATGCATCATTTATTTTATCCTGCAATTAATACCAGTGGCACTCACTGTAATTAGTTTTGCTCTGTAATATACAATCCCTCTAATAGAATGCTTTTCTTGACACATTTTAAATTATGTGCATATCAAAGTTACATCTAATTCTCATAATAATGCTGTTGTTGAGTTCTGAGTAAGTGTGTATTTTCGGGTACTGCCTAGTGTTCTTTCGGCCCATTATCCTGAAACCGCAATAGTTTGTAAAGTGTCCCTTTGGTCTGAAAGTCCATTATCCTGAAGATAAACGCACATTTCTCCAAAGGCAAGGCAAAATGTGACACTGACACGGTCTCCTCTAGAACGGTCAAGTTTGCATTGATAAATATGCAACAGTTACGGTTTGGTTAGGTTTAGGCACCAAAAGTACTTGGTTGTGTTTAGAAAAGGATCATGGTT